TTATCCAGATATCTTTACTTACAAGTGTTCATTACTAAGAGTCATTGGTCTGGTTTGAGGCCTTGGTTTTTGCCATACTATCCTGTTGTTGCCGTGTGGTGTGGAAATCCTGCCGCAGTTGCAGGTCTGGTCCATTCACATGCTTCTGCAGATCCTAGATGAGGTGGATGTTGGGGTGGGCAACTCATAACCCTGGTTCTTGGCCTGGGTAGTTGCAGGGTTGGTCAACCCACCTGCTCTGCCTTGTCCAGGGTCAGCTCTCCTGCACTGCCCTGGCTTGTTCATCCCTTGCTGTGATGAGAAAGGGGCAGGGCCGGTTTTCCTGCTTTCATGTCCGCAGGGTCCGTTCTCCCAGTTCTCCCATACATCCAGCTTTAGGACCAGCTCTATTGTGTTTCCCAGGCCTGGTGTGGGTGCCACTTCTGAATGCTGCCTTTGATGAGGGGCAGGAACAGCTCTCCCTGCTGCCTCATGTTCAAATGTTCAGTCTCTCAACTGTGGGCTCCTATAAAATAACAACAAAAGAATAATCCCTACTTTCTTCCTTCAAGAGGGAGGAACGTGAGTACAGTCACAATCTGAACAAAGCAAAACCATAATGGAAGAGTGTAAATCACTCTGTCTCATTCCATGGAAGTTACTTACGATCTAGACTCCTGCAGAAGGGCTGGGCCACGTCTCTGGATCCGCCCCCTGCAGCGCACAGCTTGCCTTCTAGTCTCAGGCATGATGCCCACTGGACTGGCTTCTCCAAAGCGCTCTGAGCTCTTGCTGAAACCCTGCTTTCCTTTCACCTGTTGCCTTTCCTGGGCCTTTGTTCAGGGACTCCAGTGCTCCCCCACAGTGCCATGCCTCAGCCGCTCAGTGTGCCGACTCCCACTGCAGTGATGCTGGCCTCTTTTCAGTCACCACTGATCTACACTCCACCCACCTGCATCCGTCATCCCAGTAAAGCATAGTTTGACTTTAGTGACTCTGGTCTCTTATTACTCACAGTTGCTTGCTCGGCCTGAGCTGACCAGAACCACAGATTCTGTGCGCTAATGATCCACTGGAGTCTTTGCTTGCCTCTGAAACTTCCCGTGCTAGGCCTCGATCATCTGCTCTCAACACACTCATTTTCTAAGCCCCTACAGAGCAGCCCTCTGAGCTATCAACATTCAATGACTTTTCTTGCCCCAAGTGCCAGAGACCTTCCACAGTCCTCCCCAAAACACATGGTCAGGTCTGTTATAGCAATGCCCCACAATCCTGGCATCAATTTCTGTCGTAGGTCACCACCATGATCAAAAGCAACCTCGGGAGGAAAGGGTTCATTTGGCTTACACTTCTCCATGGTACTCACTGAAGTAAGTAAGGAACTCAAGCAGGGCAGGAACCCAGAGACAGGAACTGTTATTGAAGCTATGGAGGAGTGCTGCTTGCCTCCTCATGCCTACTCAACCTGCTTTCTTCTGGAATGCAGGGCTACCAACCCAGAGTCACGCTACCCACAGTGGGCTGGGCCCTTCTTTGTCAATCATTAATTGAGAAAATGCTGTACAGGTTGCCTACAGCCCAGTCCCAAAGAGGCATTTTCTCAATTGGGGGTCCCGCCGTTCAGATGACTCTAGACTGTCAGGTTGACATAAAATTAGCCAGCACTGGAGGTTATAGTGGAAATGCCTAGTTAGTGAGTGTATGAAGGAAAGTCTAAGGGGAATGAGCTGTCAGGGTTTTGAAATTGGTTCTGGATTTGAGAATTAGGCCTGAGTTTATGATATTTAGTGTAATTTTTAACTATGGATTCATTTAAATGATAATGGTGGTTTCCTGGTCCTGCTTATCTTCTGTAGCCATTAAATTTCCACGTTCTCTCATCCAGGAATCCATGTTGTTTTGTGGTTTACAATTGCTTTTAAAGAGCTTTTTCATTAAAAGGAAAAAAAAAAAGCCTTGATCTTTAAATAGTTGTAATCAACGTTTCTCACTGAAGTGAGTTGACTATATAAATTCCATTCCTTTGGCTATTATAATACATGAAAATTAGGAATTTCCCTATAAAATATTAATAGCTTCCTTTGTGGATATGAGTCAGGTGTACAGCTAACAGATTTTTTAGATAAAAGTTCTCAACACACTTGCTTTGTAACTTATAAAATACCTCACTTATTTGAGTGCTAGGTCAGTTGAGCTGAATTACTCTATTGGAGACAGAAATTACGAACTTCATTTATTGTTTATTTTGATGCAGGTGTGTAAAAAGGACGCCGCTGCTTTGGCCTTATTTCGAGGTTTCTTACCCTCGTTTACTCAGTTTTTCTTTTTCCTATGTCAGTCTATTACTCGCAGTGAACTCCTTGGGTTTCAAAATTTCTAGTAGGATTTTTCTGTTTTAAAGAATCAGGTTCATCTTGATGTGAGGTCACAGCTCTGTTTCAGTGGCAAACACATAAGTAGGTATGCTAGTCTGTCTGAGCTTTGGAGAACCCAAAAACAACTGTCTGACTTTCTTACGGCATTGTGTTCTGTGCCACACAGTACAAAGTAAAGCTTTCTCTTTGCTGCTTGAGCAAAATCAAGACTGTCTTCGTGTGTTCTGCACAGATAGACAAGGCTTTTCAAAAGAGAGACTGCTGAGCATGCCCGGCAAGCTCTTGGTCACATTATGAATGTGCATCAGTGAAAACTCTGATTTTAAAGGATTACTGCTTTGGATTAATGGTTAGGTGTTTTCCTCAGTCTGTATATCTGTTAGTTCAGTTCGCACTGAAGCGAGTCTTCATGGCGTTTTCCTCCTCTGAGGATTTTGGAAAAGGAATTCTGTGTGTGTGTGGACCAGTGAAGTGGTTGGGATTCTGTCACCTAGTGCTGCCAGGAGCATGTCACTGGAAATGACACTGTTCCCCTTCTGTTGTGTTTCATTGGCTTCTAAATTGTCCTCTGATCAAGCCGTAGATCAGATCTATTTCCAGTGTAATATTTGCATTTCAAGACTTTAGAAAATTTTATCCCATCTTCAGTACGTGCAGAGCAACATTTCCCCGTGTCATGATAGGACAGCCTTTCACCAGCACTTGCTGTGCCCGGTCCACTCTGTACTCTCGTCCCTGGGTTGCAGTCTCCGGCCTTTGCTCGGCACTTTATTTTTACACAGAGAAGGGGCCACTACGTTGTGAGATCTTTACTTTTGTTTTTATTACATTAAAAGCTAGCATATTTGTTTTTAAATTTTAATTATATTTGTGTATTTATGTGTGCATAATTAGCATTTGGGTTTCTTGGGGCATAAGGTATATGTAGCTGGAAGTCAGAGACAACGTGAGAGGTGGGTTCCCCCCCCCCCCCGAGACAGGGTTTCTCTGTAGCTTTGGAGCCTGTCCTTTGGAACTAGCTCTTGTAGACCAGGCTGGTCTCAAACTCACAGAGATCCTCCTGCCTCTGCCTCCCGAGAGCTGGTATTAAAGGCGTGCGCCACCACGGCTGGGCGAGAGGTGGTTTTCTTTCACTTTCTGAATCCCAGGGATGGAGCTCAGGTGCCCTTTGCTTGCCGGGCCTGTGCTTCACCCTGAACGGTTGTGTTCGGGGTGGTGGATGCTGTAGAATGCTTGTGAAGGTCAGAGGACAGCTTGAGATGCAGGTATTTCCCAGTTTTTCCTGCTTCAGAACAGGCTGCAGACAATGTAGACAGAATAGCTGGCTGATACCTTTTCAGACTTTGGCACTTTTCCAGTTAATTTTAAAATACAGCAAAGACTATCAAAATTTAATTGCATTATACTTTTGATAACAATGAACTGGCCAGAAAACTATATGTTCTTGTGCACGAGGCGTCTTTTCATGTTTGAGATGGCTGGCCTGGAACTCCTTATACACGTGGGCTACACATATGCACTGACCTGACTTCTGCAGTTCAGGTTTCATTTATTATTATTATTTTTGTATTGTGAAATGAATCTTTGAAGACTTCTGTGTGTGTTTAATCTCATTTTTTTTCATTTTCCTTCATATACAAAGCTCTGGTGATAAATATATATATCCCTGTGTCTAGTGACCTTGATAATCCTTGTATCAACCACAATAGTCTCTAGTGCCCAGGGACATTATTTCCTCTTCACACTGTTGAGCTTTGTATACACACAACCAAGTTTCAAATAAAGGAAGCTTTCTTTCCCATAACTGTTTGCATTTATGCATAGACCCAACCTGCCTTGGAAAACTGAGGTTTTCACTTTCTGCTTAATATTACCATCACATTTCCAGTATTTGACATTTATATGCATTATCTACTAATTTTATCTGTTCATTTGGAAGTCACTTTAATTTTTTTTAAATATATTTATTTTTATTTTATCGGTGTTCTGCTTGTTGGTATGTCCTTGTGAGGGTGTTGGATTCTGGAGTTTCAGACAGTTGTGAGCTGCCATGTGGGTGCTGGGAAGTGAACTCAGGCCCTCTGAAAGGGCACTTGATGGTCTTGTCTGCTGAGCCATCTCTTCCCGCCCTCATTTCAATCCTTTAATCAGATTAAAGAAGTATTTCTTACAATGAACATGTTATTAATTTGTATACAAATTAACAATCTTCTCCATACTATTGATTCTAACCCATTCCCTGGCCTCGAACTCACAGAGATCTACCTGCCTCTGCCTCCTGTGTGCCGGGATTAAAGGAGTGTACCATCTGCCCGGGCCTGATCCTACATTTTAAAAAAATGATTAGCCTGGGATGGTAAATTTTGAATTTCTTTTTGTTTTGTTGTTGTTGTTGTTTGTTTTTTGTTTCTTTTTTCAAGACAGGGTTTGTCTCTGTAACTTTGGAGCTTGTCCTGGAACTCATTCTGTAGACCAGGCTGCCCTCCATTCAACTCACTGAGATCCCCCGTCTCTGCCTCCCAAGTGCTGGGATTAAAGGCAGGTGCCACCGCTGCCCGGCTTGAATGAATTTCTTAATGCCATGTGCTAAGAAAATTTTTGGTGTGCTGTCTTTTCTCCTTTCTTAAAGTAATGTTTGTCTTTTAGCACAACACCACCGTACTGCTGTGTGGACCTGTACTCGCTTCGTACCGGGGAAATGGTGAAGTCCATTCAGTTCAAAACGCCCATTTATGATCTCCATTGCAATAAGCGGTGAGTATTTTCATATATTTATGTTCTACCAATTTTGTGATTTCAAGTCATTGAAAAAAGTTTGAATTTCTTTCCAGTGCAACAGTTAAGATTTCACATTGAATATTTTCCAACCTCCTGACCTAACCTTGAGTTTTCAGTGTGGTAAGATATGAATGGAATTTGCATAACAAAATGGAGGATCACATGCAGTGTCTGTGTGAATACAGGAAGGTCAAGTATTGAAGCGGTGTTTGTCTCTTCGTATTCAGTGCTGAGCGTCAAACCTGGCTCGTTGCATGTGTTGCTTGGCAAGCATCTGACCATTAAAATTAAACCAGAGCCCCTGAGTGTTATTCTGGAATAATACTTGGTTGGAGGACTTTACTAGGCTGCTCCCACCCTCTAATTTTACTTTGTTTTGATGCAACAGAGTTGAAAACAGGGATTAATTAGATCCATTTTCCTTCTTGAGGGGAGAAATTTAAATGTAGATTAAGCTACATGAATTCTAATGATAATGACATTAACCACAGGCTCTTAGAGAAGAAAGAGTCTTGGGAATTTAGTCGGTGTATCACTTTGCTTTTATAGGAGAGAAATATGAATTTTTAGGATGAGAAAATATCTTGATGGATTCTTAGGTACAAGGTGTAAATCTTCTGCCTCCAAGAGCAAACGCATGAGGCAGGCAAGTGGCTCTATGAGCAGAAGCTTCTGCTGTGGGAGCGTCGGGACTCAATTCAAACCCCAGTCCCACGGGAAGTGTTGCCGGTGTCTGTGACCCCAGAACTCCTAAGGCGAGAGGGGAGGCAGAGCCAGAAGATCCCAGAAACTCGGGGCAGCTAGCCTGGCAAACATGGTGCCTCTAATGAGGTGGGATATGAGGAAGGACATCTGAGATTGTCCTCTGATCTCCAAACACATCCTCAACATGTCGTGACGTGTGCCTGCCAACCCACAGTCACACACACACACACACACACGCGCACGCGCACGCGCACACACACACACTAAATTTAAAAGGGCAGTGCATGAGACATGAGAAATTATTCTTTTGTATGAGAGAGGCCCTAAATTCAATTCTCAGCACTGAAAACAAAAGGACTCTACACTAGTGGGTATATTCAAATTCAAGAACCAAACCCTGCAAGTTGTAAGAAGCAGAGGAAATTACTTGGTGAACCAGAGCCCATATACCGCATCCACACACTTCATAGAAGACTGTCTGTGCAGTGTCTGCATCATTGATAATATGGTTTACCCAGAGTGCTGCCCGTCCTGTCCCAAATAGACTCAGTAAAGAGCAACATCGGCACATCCCAAATAGAGACGCCCACATTACACTTCCTGTGTATTATAAACTCACAGAAATCCATATAATGCGGCCTTTTTTTGGTTTACTTTTCTGAGCTTAAGTTAGAGAGGAAATCAAAATATTGAATATCATTTAAAAATTAAAACCAAAATGTGTAGTCAAGAAAAGTCATAGAAAATCTCCTGGTCACAGCCGGCCGTATCTGAACCCGCCTTTCTTCAGAAAGCACACAGGGCTCTAATAGCAGTGCCCATATCGCCATGGCTGTAGCACATAAGGATTCAGTAGCGAGTCCTCTAACTGCACGTGGCAAATTTGAGGTCGGCAACAAGTGATCAGGAGCTCTTCTAATAAGTGGTTGGCGGTTATATGGCAGGGAATGGAAGTGGTGCTGAGACTTGATCGGTATAGGGTAGATTGCAGTAACCTGGGTTCAGAGTTTACCCGGAGAGGACGCACATAGGTTATGGAATGAAAGAATCAGCAGAGGCTGGGGTCCGTGTAGGAACAGATGTTCGTGCAGCAAAGCCACACGTTTCTGTGTGGCAGCAGTGACTCAGAGGATCTACTGCACCCCTCAGGTCGTTCTGGGCTGGTTCCACTGAGGGCTCTTGACCTGTTGAGGGTGGGCTAGATACCTCAGCTGTCAGACTTGCTGAAGAGTGTTGCTGTACACAGGGGTTCATTCAGGAGCTCTGTGAGTGTCCTGCCATCTCCCCCTGATTTTGCTGATGCGACCCCAGTCTGATGCTCTTAAGGGACGGGAGAGGAAGTGTAGACACTGTTTTTCTGTAATTGGATAATTTAAACAAAGCCACTATCAGCGAGGAAGGGAGCAAAGACCACACGTGCCTATCCTGTTAAGTTAATATAGGTGAAGCTAAACCACCTATAGTACAGTTGTCAAAGGCACTGAAGAGTTAACCTTCTTGATAATGAAAGATAGATAATTGGAAGCACCAAGCACACCTTCATGGCTGCACTAAGGAAAGTCTCTGTGGACAAGCAAAGTCTCTAATATCTGTTAGTAAAAATATGCAGTTTGCTGGACAGGGGGGCGCATCCATGTAATCCAGAACTTGAGAGATGGAGGCAGGAGGATTAGGAGTCCAAGGACTTCCTCAGCTAAGTAACCTGCTTGAGGCTTCTCTGTGATACACGACCCAGTCGCATAAAACAAAAAGGGGGCAAGAAATTATGCTGTTTGAAAAAGAAATATCCGAAAGGTTACTGAAGCCCCGATATAAGGGGAAGAATATCAGAAATTTAGATTTATCTTACCAATTTCATTAAGAGCATGTTTTCAGGGATGTCCCTAACAGGGTAAAAACTGAAGCCCTTGATTGAAGGGATCTACAGGAACGGCATGTTGTAGGGGCCGGGACAGCGGTGGGCTCTGTACTGGAGCAGTGCGTTTCTCTGCATCCCGGGACAGCGGTGGGCTCTGTACTGGAGCAGTGCGTCTCTTTGCATCCCACTGTTGCTGTGTAATTTCACTTTTGATTCTTTTTTATTTTTTATTTTTTTTTATTTTTTGAGATGAGGTTTCACTTTCGCCGAACTCCAGGCTTTTGCTCCCTCGCTTGGCTTCCTCCTCTGGAGAGTGAACTGGTTTCCTCTTTCATTGTACCTGCACTTATACATCTTGGGAGATTCCTTGGATTCCATAAACTCCCGTCGTCTTCACCATTACCCTTAGTACTCGTTTTTGGTTCTTGGAATCAAACACATGGCCACCAGATGCCAAGTCCTTAGGGTCCAGGCCAAACCTCAAGTTACCCCTGAGCTCAATGTGTAGACCAGGCAAGGCTTGAATACCCTATTCTCCTATGTCTGCCTCCTGATTACCTGGCTCGTGTTCCTAGCTGCCTCCCACATCTTTTCATCCAGATTGTATATCTTCTTCTTCACCTGAGATTCTGAACGCAGGAGCTCCTCTTTGTCCTGCATCGAACACTCTGCTGCCTCTTCTAGTTAGTTCCCACGGTGCTGTGACCGAGTCAGTCTTCAGAAATCGTCTGCCACATGTTTGCTTCACACACCTTTTCTTTCTTTTCATTGCTTATAGACTTGATTATTTTCACAGTACCCGCTTGCCCTCGGTTCTAACCCGTTGTCTTTTATCTCTACTGTTTCAGTGTCTGCATTCCCCCAGGTAGACCTACTTTTATCATAGTGCCAGCTTTCTTTTCTAAATTCTCCAGTGACTTCTGCCTGTGACCAAAGGCAGACAAGTGTCACATTCTTACGTGCTCCCTCTTCACCTGACCTCATCTCCTAAGAGTTTCCTTCCTTGCCATGTGAATGGTTTCTTGGAGAGCTGAAACTTCTCTTACCCTGAGCTGTTTTCCTTTTCTATCATCATTCTTGCCATTTTTATTTTTAGCTGTAGATTTTCTTTTATTTTTTCTGTTGGTAGAATGCGTGAATAAGTTGGTGTTTCTTTTGTGTTTTTAGCCAGGGTCTTACTGTGGAGTACAGGCCCTGTTCAGACTCCCCTGACACCCTGACTGTTGGGATTACAAGCTTCCCTTCCACTGCTTCTGTTTCTCACATGTACATGCGTGTGTGTGTGTTCAGGTGCCCGTGAACATATGCACCCAAGGATGCCTACAGTTGGTGTTGGGAATCATCCACCAGCATCTTTGCACACTGTTAGTTGAGGCAGGGTCAAGCCTAGAGCCCCGACCTGGCTAGTCTCAGTAGCAAGCTCCCTCTAGTGATCTTGTCGTCCCCCCCAAAGCTGGAACTACAGAAGGGCTTTGATGTTCCTGTGAGTTCTGGGGATCCAAACTCAGGCCCTTGTGCTCTGCAGCAAGGTCTCTAAATGCCAAGCTAAAAGCCTCCCATCCCCGCCTACTTTTTATTTATTTTTTAAATGTCAGTGCCCATTTGCTTATTTTGAGTTTCTGTTATTGGTGATGTTTATATTTTCTTACGCTGTGGCTATTTTATGCTATTTTTTGTGACTAGTATTCTGTTAGTGTTTTTCTTTTCGTTACTATCTGTGTTCTGTGTATTCTATTTTCATTTTTCAGCTTTTATTAAGGTACTTTTAAAAGAATTCTTATAATTATTTCTGTTTATATTATGTATAATTTAACTTGATCATATTGTAGTTTCACTCTTGATTTTATAGTTTTTATTTAAAATATTATGAATGCCCATTGTACAGCTCAACAGCAGTGTATCTGATAGATTGGGCAGGCTTTGCACTGTATCCAGCACAGAAATGATTTTCTAAAGTGAATTTCAGAGAGGGAAGTGAACACTCAGGTCCTGAACACCCTTTAGCACACAGAATTCAGAACTCTTTATTTGGTTCTGGTAATTATGTAATTGTGTCTCTCTGTTTGTCTTCGTGTATATTTTGTTGCTGATTTTCTTCATATAGAATGTTACTATATTTATGGTTTGTTATTGTCTCAAGCTATTGATCCTCCTGTCTCAGTCTTCTGAGTGGCTGGGATCACAGGCATGCTTCTCCATACCTGGGGAAGCGTCTACAGACTCAACAACAGGCTGTATTTCCTTTTTGTGTGCTTCGTTATTTGATTTTTTAAAATGGTGGATATTATGTGTAAGGGAGCAGTAGAGATGCTGGTACTTTCTGTGCTGGGAGTGTGAGGAATTGAAGGATGGGAGACGATTTGGGTCATCCTTTAATGCTAGGATACAAATTAAATTTGCTGTTGAGTGTGAAGTGCTGTGTCCTTGTGGGGAGACTGTCTCTGGCTCTAATGTGCAGAGTGCACACAAAGCAGTCAACACATCACTTACTTAGTAACAGAAGAAAGTGTATCCAAGGATGGGTGTTCTCAACAGACAGACTGAATAATAATAGCAATAGCATAATAGAAGTAGTAATAGTATTTAGAATTCTTCTGCTTCAGCAAATGAGAGTTTTCTGAAGCATTTTAAGACTCATTTGCTGTGGGATGTGTTTTACATAATAAATCTTACTCTTTTCCCCACCAGTTTTTTTTTAGCATGAGTTAGTTAGATTTACCTGTTAAAATTTCAAAAAAATTACGTGAATTATGTAGTAATAAGAATGATGTTTTATTGAAATAGTCATTAAATGTGGGATTTGTTATTCTAGAAGAAATAGTCAATTGTAATTCAGTATTTGGAATGTATTATAGTAATTTCACTTTAGAACATTAAAATCATAGCTTAATTATACAATCTGTAAATTCTTAATCATTTCCCTGGTTATTTGTAAATTTTGTTTTCTAAATTATTGTTTATAGAGATTGTTATTAATATTAATATATCAACTCTTAAGAAATGGCACATGCTGTGTGGCAATCTTTTCAGATTTTGTTGGGTGTGCTGAGAAATTCTGCAACCTTTTTAAGTGATAGATTATATAAAGTCATTTATATTTAATTGTGACTTTAAATAGCATTGAACACCACATTTAGTAAGTAGCCCACTGGTTAATATTATCCATTCTTAGTGTTGTTTGTTTAATCAGAATATGAAAGTGAAACTGTTCCAGTAATAGCTCCAAAATTTGTCACTTGGTTTGTATGAAAGATTTCTTTGTTTTTATTCTCCAGATTTTTGGAGTCAGATATTTCTACCCTATGTATTAGAAATGTTTTATTTTAAAAGTATGATTTTAATTATTTATAATTCAATTCGTAGAATTTCTCATTCACTCACGTTTCCATTCTGGTTTTTCCCCTCTAATTTTAGGATCCTCGTCGTAGTCTTGCAGGAGAAAATCGCTGCCTTTGATAGCTGTACTTTCACAAAAAAATTTTTTGTCACAAGTATGTACCAAATCATTTTACTTCCTATCTGTGCGTTTGTGTTTCTGTTGCTGACTGGATGCTGTCAGCAGTGGGTTTCAGCCATGGTCTCTGCCTGTGATTCTCATGGGCGCCATTACTTCGTAGCTTCTAATCTTAGAAGGAATTTTACCATGCCAAAGCACTTTCCTCATATTTTTGAATATAGCGTAAGATTTCTTTATATCCTCATATTGAGGCCCCTCCCTGTTTCCCGTAGCTGTTTTTGAGGCAGATCATTTAGCATGTCCTCTGTACATCCAGAGGTGATTGCCTTGTGCTCTATGAAGGAATTTAAACTTGGGGGGCTGCTTACCCCTTCCTTTGCCTCCCCCGCCCATCATTTCACTGCTGTCAGGAGCTCTCTAGCTACACCCGGTGCTCAAACACAAACTCAGTGCTAGGTTTTGTAGAAAGGCAGAGGATTCGGGTAGGAGGAGAAGTGAACGGGAGCTAATTAACTTTAAGGAACTGGAATGTGCAGGCCTGGCATGCCGAGTTGTGAAGGACAGAGACGGTCTGGAAATGCTGGCAGGGATCAGTGAGCTGTTCAAAATGTCCCAGAATGACTTTTAAATTTTATTTTTCCCGCAGCCCAGTAAAATAATAGTTCCCCCCACAATGTTCTCCCTTTTTTTAGTTCACCAAAGAGTCTGATATATATTATAGAAATAGCTTAGTGGGTTTCTATTTTGAAAGGATGACATGAAATACAATATGGAGTACACAGACTTTTACTGAGTAGCTGCCCCATATTGAGCCTCAGGTAGTATCATGTAGGTATTGTTCCTTTCCTATAAGGACAAGTTCTTTGTTCTATCCGCATTGGGTATTAGAGATAATTATCTGCACCCTATACTACACATCATACTATATAATACAGTTCAATATGGCTCATGTTTCACCTTTGTGGAGCATGAAGAATTGTAAGTCTAGCCCATCCCTCCAAGCCCTTAATCCTTTTCTCTGAGTTGTTCCCCCTTATGCTCAGTCGTCACCTTGTTCATGCATCTGCAGTGGGAACAGGCAGGCAGCATAGGCGCCCGGAGTCCTGCGTGGTGCAGATGAGTTAGAGCACAGTGGGACGCCGCAGCCGCAGCCGGGCCTTTCCTGTGGATTTCTCATTCCTTTTCAGCGGTTGTTTTTAGTTTTGTTGTTTTTAAATTTTTCTTGTTATTTGATATTGATTACAAGTAAGGTGTGAAGGCCTCTTCAGTACTAAGTGTCTCTGTTGTGACCCCATTTTTTGTTTGTTTGTTTTGATTTTTGAGACAGGGTTTCTCTGTGTAACCATTTTTGGAACTAGCTCTGTAGACCAGGCTGACCTCGAATTTAGAGAGATCCTCCTGCCTCTGGCTCCAGAGTGCTGGGATTAAAGGTGTGTGCCACCACAACCAGGCAATGGTTTTTTTTAGGTTTTTATTATGTACACAGTGTTCTGCTTAAATGTATGCTTGTACACCAGAAGAGAACACCATAATCTCATTATAGATGGTTGTGAGCCACCATGTGGTTGCTGGGAATTGAACCCAGGACCTCTGAAAGAGCAGCCAGTGCTCTTAACCTCTGAGCCTTCTCTCCAGCCCCGTTGTAACCCCATTTAACTTTATTCTGGAGCATGTATTCCTTGGTAGTTACTTCTGTATCAATTTAATTGCTCAGAACATTGAAATGGGGTGGTGGAGACAAACATCATTGGTTTTCTTTTAAAGTCCTATTTATTTAAAAATTTTGTATGTATGTGTGAAGGTGCACTCAGATGCAGGAAGAGGTCTTGGTGCCCTGGAACTGGAATTACAGGCACTTACCTAGCATGAGTGGCGGGAACCAAAGCTGCTACCCCATAAAGGAACGTTAAATGGTGAACCATCTCTTCTGCCCCCCATTGTTTTTGTTTTGTTTCCTGAGTGCTGGGATTAAAGTTGTTCACTACCACTGCCCTGCTCCCTCATTGTCTTTAAAAATTATTTTTTACTACTGTTTGTATCTTGTCGATACATAGGGTGTGGCATACGCGTGCTGGTTGGAGAACAACTTTCAGCAGATGCTCCTCTCCCTCCACCTTTCCGTGGGCTTTAGAGCTTATACTAGGGTCTTCAGGCTTGTATGGCAAGCACTTTATTATGACCATCTTCGTGATCCATTATCTGATGGGTGGAGTGTGTGTAAATGGAAATTATGTTTGCAAATTTGCATATTAAATGATTTTTATCAGTAGTTAATATTTTTCTCATAAGTAGTAAATGGCATTAAAGTACATAGAAGCTTCTAATTTTATAACATTGGTATTACAATTGAAAATTCACAATTTTCATTATTTATGAAAAATACAAATTATTATCCTTTGCTAGTTAGTAACAGTTTTGATGTAATGATGAAGCTAGAGTTGGTGACTTGCACATTAGACTTCAGAGAAATTTCTTTTCCCGTGCTCTTTCCCCTTCCCTCTTGGCCCTTCCCTTTTCCTTCTGTCTTGCCCTGGCTCTTCTTTTTTTAACAGTCTTTCTCATTTTAACCCACGATGGTGTTAAAATTGCCACCCTTCTGCCTCAGCCTCTGAGTGCTAGGGTAATATTACGGGGAGGAGGGAGAGATGGTGTCTCTCTGTCATTCCCTATCTCCCCCCACCCCATGATCACGTCTCTCTATGGAACATCGTTATTGTATATTCCTAAATACTTAACCTTGAGTTTCTGGACCCACTGAATAGTTGAAGCCATTGTCCTCCAGTCTTAGTGTCTCTTGTCCTTTGTGAATTGTTCACGAGAGGAGGAACAGTTCAAGTGTCACCAGTGTCTCTGTCTTTTTAAGTGCCATGCAGACTGCTCGCTAAGCCATCATTGTCTTGTAGTCTGTCACAAGGGGGTTCTCACATACTCTCATAGACTTGGGATTCCTCAAAGCCTCTATTAGTAGAGATTGCATAATACATAAAATATAATGATGTGTTTTATTTCATGCTTGACAGCTATGTAGAAGGATAAGACCAGAGGATTACAAGTTCAAGTCATATGTGGGCAACTGAGTGAGCAACTTTTACAATAAAAAGTGAACAGAGGCTGTACACACACACACACACACACACACACACACACACACACACACACGTTCAGTCTGTGTGAGGCTCTGACTCAATACCTAGCATTGAAAAACAAGTAAAAAAAAAAAATCCAAACCCCCAATTAACCAATCAACCAAAAAGTCAGTAAAGGGTTTAGAGCAACAACAAAACCCTGTGATTTCTTGCGTCCTTCTGTGATTAACGACTTTTGTGGTTTTTGCTCCAGTGTTGTTGATCGTCATTAATAAATGCTTTCTTGTCCTAGTGACAGGTCTCATTTCATACTCCACTCGGAAGTATCTTTCTCAGGAGTAGGTACTTGATTTGTTCACTCTAGGGATTGAGTTTGAAGTTGGGACCAATGATACTCATCAAGAATCGGAATCCTTGAATTACGGCTTTACTCAAGGGATTGAAGTCATGATCCAGGCCTATTGACTTCCACCTGAAATCCTAGCACTTTGAATGCTGGAACAAGATGGTTACTGTGAATTTGAAGCCTGGTTTGCATAGTGTGTTCCAGAACAGACTTAGCTCTACAGTGAGACTCTATCTCAAACAAAGCAGACATAACAAAACTTAAAACAGCACCAAATTTGGTGTCAAGTGTCAAATTCTGCCACAGTACTTGACATACTGTGCCAATGTGTTAATGGGGGATTTTTTTTTTTTCAGTTTTGCACCATCCAAATTCTTCAGCTAATTTCTTTAGCTGTATTCAAAGTTGATACAGTTCTCATGTATTTTTCTGTCTTTGGATTTCTTACAGAGGTTGACTGAGGAGCTGGGAGACGGACACTATGATGTCTTCTGGCAGCTCGCTTACCCGCGTGGCATGTGCCTTGTCTCTGTTTAGTCACACCCAGTGGGGTTGCTTGTTTGTAGCCCAGGCTAGCCTCGTCCTGTAGCTCAGGATGTCATTGAACTCCTTATCCACATGCCCCCATCTCTGGAGTGCCTGTAATGCCTTGTTTCTGTAGTACTGATTGGGTCTATAGTTGGCATGGGCTAAGCAAGCTCTTTACCAGCTCAGCTGCGTCCAGCCTGGTACCCAGTTCTGAAAGAAGTAGGATCATGCCCTGTGTAGATCGCCACCTAATGAGGGTGTCGTTTTGATCATGCAGACATTTAACTTCTGAGGTAGAATGGGAAGCTGTTGCATAATGCATTCCTAGCTGAAGGCCCCCTTATATGTGAATACAATGAAAGTATTGTAAAATGAGTAGAGCCTGCTGTGCCCATCAGAGCAGGCATCCTGGGGATTTGTGCCAAAGAGTGGATGGAGCAGGTAAAGGGAGCTGATAGAGGGCTGTTAACAGAATGCACCTAATAGGGCCAGAAAGGGGACACCTTTGTGTTTGGATGTACAGAAAGTTGGTCTTGAGCAGCTGTCCGATGTGGAAATTCAAAACTCAGGTATGAATAGGAAAACAAAAGACAAAGACTGATAGATGTCATTAGCAGTCATTTTAGGGATCCTTTGAAGTTGAAAGGCAGATACAGAATCTCCAGAGAGACCCGGGGTCTGATAAACAGGCTCTGTGCATCTGCCTGTGTTTCAGTTTGAGAAGGAAAGTTATTTGGTGCAATCCTAATGTTATTAGTGCTAGAATGTCTGTTCTTTGTTTATGTTAATGATGAACAACACATGGAACACATGGAAATGAGTTTAAAGTAGCTTTAAAATGCAAAGTTAAAATTTTGGGTAAGAACTGCTTTGCTTGCTTGCTGCTTTTTTTCTTCTTCATATTTTGGGAAAGCAGTGCCTTGGTGTCTATCCAGGCTGGCTTGGAATGACCACTCCCACATGTTTGTATTATGCAGCAGAAAGGGTTGGAGTCCTGTCATCTAGGTCGGTTTGGCTGTTAAATTTACTGCCATGACTTTGGATTTTTCACAAGGTAAAGAGGGCTGCTCTGGTGTCTCCTGGCGCTGGGCAGAAAAGTCTGCATGTATGTACATGTGCAGTGAACCGAACCGTGACTCCTGCTTCCTGAATATGATTCCCACCACCTGTTGATACATTGTGCTGAAATTTGTATGTTTCATATACATGCAAAGTGAACAAAAAATAATGTGCAGGGATCCTCACCGCTCTTAGATAAGTGTGCATCCTTCTGGGTCGTGTTCAGGTTTTCTTACTCTCGTCTAACCTGTGATCTTTGTGACTTGTGTCTAACAGAACATAGGGTAGCATTCCTTCCACCCGGTTTGTAGTCTTCATTATTCCTCCACCTCTCCACCTCTGTATGCTGTCCTGCCTAATTCTTTCTGTCCCTCCTTTCGTCTGTCTAGCCTTCCCTCCCTCAATCCCTTCTTCTTCTTCTTCTTCTTCTTCTTCTTCTTCTTCTTCTTCTTTTTTTTTTTTTGAATTCTGGATTTTCTATAGCCCAGGCTGACTTTGAAGTTCTTACTGTCCTGCCTCAGTGTCCCAAGAATGGATTATAGACATGCATCACCACACATACTGTTCAGGTCTTATTTATTTCTTATGTAATGACCCTAAATTTTATGGCCATTAGACATGTGTATGTTAATTGGTTAACAGATAATACTTTATATATCCTTCTGGAATGTGTGGTTGATGCTTTTATGAAACTGAATCCACATTTTAGTTTTTATGTGGACGTATTTTCAGTTCTCATGGTTATAAACATTTGGTTGCAAGTTTTTGTAATTATATGTTTTTTTCTTGATGGCTAGTAATACTGATTACTTTTATGTATTTGCCAGTGTATATCTTAGCTCATTTTTAAATTAAAAAATCTTAATATTGAGTGGCTGAAATTTTCTAAAATAGGTCACTTGTCACTTATGGGTTACAAAGATATTCCTCCATTCTGCTGGTTGTCTTTTTACTTTTCTGCCATGTGTGTCCTGAGTGTTGAACCCCAGGTCCTCTGTAAGACCAGCAAATGGTCTTAACCACCAAACCATCTCTCCAGCTTTTCTTTTCATTTTGATGATGTCCTTCTGAAAACCTCTTCAGCTAAAACTATGCATTATCAATGGAAGAAACTGTTTTACCAACTCTGAGGCGGTGAACAGCCCCTCATCTAATTTACTTTGTTTTTGTTGTTGTTGTTGGTAGATAGACTAGGTTGGCCTTGAACTCACAGATCCACCTGCCTTTGTCTTCTTAGTACTGGGGTTAAAGGTGTGTGCTACCACGCCTGGCATCATATTTTTCTTTTAAGTATTGTTCATTCTAAACTAACTAAAATGGTTTTTAGATTCATTTATTTTACTGTTTTTATGTGTATGAGTGTTTTTCCTCAATGCCCTTGAAGTTCAGAAGAGGGCTTTAGATCCTCTGTAACTGGATTTGCAGAGTTTTGAGGTCTGCCATGTGGATACATGGATTGAGCCCTCATCTTCTACCGTATGTATGTGATGTGAAGCTGGGGTCCAGCGTCATTTAGTCACAGGTAGCATCTTTCACTCTGTGCTCACCTGGGTACCTTTGTTAAAGGTCAGCTGACTGAGGCCATTAGTGGTGTGCCTCGCCTCTAGCCTTTGGCACAGCACACGGGAGGAAGAGGCCCGTCTGATCATCATAGCCACAGGACTGAGAGTAGTGAAGTCTTAGTTACCTAATGTGCTCAAGTTGTCTGTAGTAGGAACAACCTTATGGCCTGCTGTCAGGCAAAGCTGCTGAACCTTCCTGTTCCTTTAAAATTCTTTACCCATACAGGGAGCTAGGCCAGGCTGACCTCACCTCACTGCAGCCCTGCCCTCAGCCTCCTGAGTATTCAGATTAGCCGCTACACCAAAAGCAATGGCATAGGCATTGCTTGGGTGGCTTAGATTCTACCTTCATGGAAATTTGAAAGCCTGAGTTCTGTTAAGGCCCAGTTGCCTCTGCTCACGTTGTTAAGTGGCTGGTAACCATCCCTACACCCCTTCACTTGTTTTTAGAGTTTACCTGGAGATCAGTTAATAATACTTATACAGTTCGGATGGTGCTGGCTGGCTGACACCAACTTTTAATTCCCGAGGTCTTCTTGAGTTCCTAAGAACCTAGAACCACAAAGTAATTTGTCTTCCTGAGGTTGCAATCCCACATGGGAAGAAGATAGGGGCTATTATCTAGTGTCATTCGGACTAGTTATGGGAGCTGATTTGAAGTTAGGGTGTTTAGACTTTGGATTTATTTATTTATTTATTTTGAGATAGTAATTCTGACTGGTCTCGAGACCACTTTTGGCATGTCCTGTAAGTCCTGCCCCCACCTCCCTTTTTGACCTTTAAAGACAATTCTGGAGATTAGCTACCTCAAGTGTGATGTTAAGCATTCAAATGTCTCATTTTAATAGGAGCATAGTGCATAGAGAGAATTGTACAGTCTTCAGGATGCCCTTGTTCATATATGCCAGCATACATATGCCTTGAGCAATGACAGCAGGACCACCGTTCCCTAGAGATTCAACAATAAAGAGAACAGAGCCATCTTTAACACTGTGTACCCCTAATCAAGAGTATATAAAGTCATAGACAATAAATACATCATAGAACCATTTACTGCTAGTCATAGCTGACACTGGGACCAAGAAGAATGAAATGGAGTGCTAATACAAGCATAGCATTATCTAGTTTTCCAGAATCTCTCTGCCAAGGTATCCTTTGAGCGTTCTTTATGTTTATTGGCCACGTCACTTTGTGTGTTTTTCACCATTGTCATTGCATCATTTTCTTACTCATATGTTTCGGTGTGGTTTTAATTGATCTCTTAACATTAACTTCCTGCACTTACTCTATGCTTTCTATCCTCTCCAAAAATTCTTTTTAAATTTATGAACGTCAACCTTTAAGTCATTTCCTTCTACCTTCATATTGTTTTCAGGGATAACAGTAGAAATGCTTTTTAGTAAAAAGTGGTTACCAGATCTTTCTGTGTCAGTGGAGCAGAGCTCATACATCAGGAAGGTAAACAAGTAAAAAAAAAAAAAAGGTCATTTAAGTTTTAAAATAATGAATACTGGACCGGGCATGGTAGCACACACCTTTGATCCCAGCACTCGGGGTAGAGGCAAGCAGATCTCTATGAGTTTGAGGCCAGCCGGGAGTATATAAAAAGACCTTGTCTCAATCTAACCCTAACACTGAACACTGTCATTTGAATTTTATGAGGTTTTGAAAAAATTAAATGTTTGATTTTTTTTGGTTTTTCTTTTATTAAGAAATAATGCATTAATGAAAAAAATTATTAAATTTCTTAATAATGCTCTTTGGAACTTGCAGGCTGTTATCCTTGTCCTGGGCCAAACATGAATCCCATTGCTCTTGGGAGCCGCTGGCTTGCTTATGCAGAAAACAAGGTAAGGCACGGTCCAGATGTAGGTTAGTTATGAGGGAGCAGGTGTGGAAGGACTGTCCCTACTCTGTATTGATGCTCTCTTGTGAATACCACTAGTGAGTGTTTTACAAGGTTTTATCTGTGCACCCACTAATCTGACTCTTAAGGATTTGTAGCTGAGTCTGGCGGGTCATACCTCTGATTCTAGCACTTGGGAGGCAGTGGTTGGAGGGTAACCTCAAGATCTAGGCTAACTTGTGGTGTCCAGTCCAGCCATACAGTGAGCCCTTACCTCAGAGAGAAAACGCACATTTTTTTTTTGTTTTATTGTGACAGAGTGTCTTAAGCTCAGGCTGGACTTATGTCCCTGTCCTCTTGCATCCACCCAAGTGTTGGGACTAGCAGCATATGTCACTGTCTGATAGCTGTCCTTGAACAGCAGCTTTGTAGATTCTTGGTGTTCTAGCCTGGCTTCTGCATAGAGCTGCTCACCTAGAGATTGTTTAATATTGATATAAAGCCTGCAGTTCACTGTCACACTGATACTTTCTAAAAGACAACAATTTGAAACCCGTCTCTTGCATAGATTGGAGTCACGGGGCATGGGACAATTTTCCTGGCCTTATATGGTCAGCACCTAAACCCTATTGTGCAGCTCCTTGCTGTAATGATTATAGCACACACGGCCTCAGTGGATATGGATATATATCAGTTATTAACTTGGTTCACCAAGATTGCCATAGTGTGTAAAAGTTGCTATATGCCTTTTATATCTAAGGCATATATATGCCTTTATATCTAAGCATTTTATTTATGTACAGTTCAATGTAAAACATAAATTTTGATTTATGTCATTTAGGACTCTGCCTGTAAATACAGAATAAAATATAAAAAGTATTGTTGGCTTTGAGGATTAGTATTTTTGTTTCATTTTTCTTGGTTACATGGTTATTGTATCTTGAGAATATTATGAAATAGTGCAAAATAGTTCTTGACAAAATCAGGATGTGGTACTTTAAGTACTTGGTGAAGCCACAGAACTCGTAAATCAACTGGCCTCTGGAATGTGCAGAATCAAGACTGGGCTGACGAAAATAATTTTTCTAGACGAAGTCCTTAATTCCTTTTCCAAAAGCCTGTCTACAAAAATTAAGATATTGTGCGTGTTACTGAGTGCTCTATTTACACTTCTTCTTGTCTGCTCTCTTCATTTTCCCATAAAAATTGCTCTTTTCAAACAGTGCAAGAGCCGCACAGTTAAATGGAGTGACATAATGGTGTCTCCTAATGTTTATATCTGTAATGCATTTCCCGTGAGTGCTGGAGACGTCCGCGGAGAAAGTGTGTAAACCATCCCTTGGCGCTGCCCATTGTATCCCACATGTGGAAAGCTGCGCATGTGGAGTTGGAGGTTTAATTAGCTACCTGTTTTTGAGAGGAAGCAACTCCCTTGAGAGTTGGTTGGATTTTGATATCTGTCTTTGCAGATGTATGTGTCATATGCAGGAACCAAGCAGCCTCGTGTGCAGAAAGATTTGTAAATGATAGTACTTAGTGAAGTTGGATTAAATTTTGAAGAACACTTTCAGACATTTGTGTCTATGTGTTTAGTGTTATGTGTGTGAGTATGAGGGGGCTTATGTCCATCTTCTGTTGGCTTTGGTCTCATTTTGTGAGGAAGGGTTTCTCACTGAATCTGGAGGTAAGCTGGTGGCTAGCACTTTTCGGTGGTGCTCCTGTCTTGACTCCTCAAAGTTCTCTTTCTCAAGAGCGTGTGTGGTCCTGTTGGGCCCTACGAATCCAAATTCAGATTTCTATGGCAGATTCTTGGTTGTTTGGCAGGTGCTCTTACCCACAGAACCATCCTTCCTGCTCCTCTTATCTCTTATTTATTAAAGATTTTGCTTCAGTGTGTCTGTGAGTGTGCGTGCGTGCATGCATGTGTGTGTGTATATGAGTGCCAGTGCCCGAGGAAGCCAGAGCTGTTGGAACCTCCTGGAGCTGTGAGTCACTTAATGTGGCTGCTGAGAACAGAACTCGGGTCTTTTGCAAGAGCAGCGTACACCATCTCTCCAGTCTCCTTCCTGTCCTTTCTAAGGGACAGAATCATTAGAAAGTCAGCTTTGGCCTGTCGTGTGATCTTCATACTCAGGTGTGTTTCTTTATAGAACTTCTCAGTGGGAACATGTCACTTACAGAAATGCATGCATATTTGTACACCTGTGTATGCATATTTGCATGGTGTAGAAATGAGGCGTTCACATTGGTACTTGCACCAGATTCTCTCCTGTTTTCTTTCATAGTCAAATGCCCCTCTCTTTGCGTGGGTAGCCTGGAATGTCAGCATCTATTCGTGTGTTCGGTTCCTGTAATTCACAAGTAGTGACAGGATTGCTCACCTGTACTGCCTAACAGGCAAACTAGACTCATGCCTGCTGCCACTGCTGCCTCAGACTCCAGGTGTACAGTCCGCCTGTCTTCTTGGGGGTGTTCCTTAAGTTCCTTTTAAATAATATTTCTTAGTGTGTGTATGTGTGTGTTTGTTTGTATAAATGTACACAAGCATATATAGAGGTTAGAGAACAACTTGGAAGAGTTATTTCTCCCCCTTTACCACGTGTTCTGGGTATTGAACTGAGGCTTAGCAGTAAATCCCTGCGTCTGCTGAGGTGTTTTGTATTTATTTTTATTTGTTGATCATCTTTGCCTATTGTTCTTCCTCCATTTAGATTAGACTTTCATTTAATGTGTAATTGTGTACATTTTTGTATACATTTGTGTACATTTTGTATTCATATTTTATGTGCCAGTGTACCTAGTACATGCATATAGTTATTATATTACCTTTTATGAAAGGTAACATAATGTATTTGTTCCTTAATGATCATTTTGCTTAAGAATAATTCCTGGAATTTAGTTCGTTCGTATGCTGATTTTGTTTAAAAATGATAATTTTTTATTATAAAAATGATAAAAAATGGAATTTTTTCTATGCTGTGCTTTGACCATATTTTCATGTACAAACTGATTCAATTATAGTTAAATCAAAATGGTTAAGAGTGATGTTTGTTTTTCCATTTGCCTTTGAATATTTAGTCTTAATTTAATATGAAAACGTTTATTTTCTCTTTAACATAGTGTTTGCTGGCCACAATGCTGCCTTTCTCTGCTTCAGCAGCAGGGGGCAGCAGAGGAATGATTTTCATAATTCTTTGACTTTGTGGTTGAATGAACAAGCCATTCTTTCCATTACCTAAAATAGTATTTTCCACATTTTATTCTGAGACAAAAAAGTTTGCTGATCAGAAAACTTGAACTCTATTTGTCGTGGCTTTATAGACATGGCCTAAAAAATAGCTTGGCTTCAGGGACCAGACTTAAGGTGTTCTAGCCTGCTACATTCATGTAAGTTAGGAAGAAAAGGACTTCATGGTAATCTGTGCCGCAGAGCACAGTTTTAGGTCATCTGAGGTGTGTTTCAAAATTTGTTATTCATTTCACAGGCTTTGAAAACACCTGTTACAATATCATGCTCTTCACAGGCCCTGCTGCTGTCATTTAACTTTAAAAATGTTTTATGAGAATCTTAGTTATGATTTTTTTTTTTTTTTTGGTAAATGCAAGTGTGTTGTTGCCGGTGAAGGGTTTGGTCCTGAGTTTCTGCTGAGCGAATGAGAATTAAAATCATGATTCACAGTGACAGTTGCAAGTCGCAAGTGCAGTGTCCTCCTGAAGTGGACAGTGAGTGTATGTGCTTACGTGGTGCGCGCACACTCTGTCTGCTGTCCCACAGACACAGTGGACATGCAGATAGGCTAAAATGTTTTGCCTGTTCTTTTAGGTTTCCTTTTATAATCCTTGTAGACAAATTAAGAGGAACAAACATCCAGTTTGCTCGTATGTCAAATATTTAATGTTAGGAAGTTATGTGTAAGTCCTTTGATTATGTTTTTTAAATTTATTTGTGGAAAGGTTGCCAGACCCGGAATCCTACCATTTCAGAGTTTATGAATTCTTAAAGCCCGTTCATCGTGTAATTAAAACCATAGTTGAGTATGAAACTGCCCGAGTGGCACCAGAAGATTATAAAAAGGGGTAAACGTGTCTCAGCAGGGTTTTAGCTGTTTGGTCTGCAGTGCACTCATGCAAACATTCCCACCCACCACCATTATCATGCGCGGTAAATAGCCGCTGTCTAATAGCGTGTACAGTTAAACGGCTTAATAGAAAATGACTCTGCCGTTCTCTTTTCCCCTTCCCCAGCTGATTCGATGTCATCAGTCGCGCGGTGGAGCCTGTGGAGACAACATTCAGTCTTACACCGCCACAGTCATTAGTGCCGCTAAAGTGAGTACCCAGAAGTTGCGGTTATGCTGAATGCTGGCCGTGGTGCAACGGTCCATTCCACTTCCAGTCACAGTGTAGAGCAAATGGAAGAAGTCAGGATGTTTTGCCATTCTGTGATGTGGAAGTTAATCTTTCAAGGTTAATAGTTCTTTTATTGTGAAGATTGTATGGTTTGCCCTTTCTCCATTAAAAACCTGGATGTATTTCAACTCGCTTCAGGTCTGGTAACTAATTAATACCATATTGCAACGAACTGTGCATGTTTTAAGTGGCGAGTTGGGTTCTTTTTTCTGTATTTGCATCTTCCTATCTACACGAATAAGCTTGTGGGCATCCCTGTGCAGCTTTGAACATTTGTGAATCTTCTTGACTTCAAAAGTTCCCCTGGCACATTCCAAGAGTCTTTCATAGTTAGAGGCCGGCCCCTTGCTGTTTGTCAAGTGACTTCTTCTGTGTGTGCGGGTTAGTTTTGATGATGTCTGGTAAACTTTGTTGATTATAAGGTATTCTTACCACCACCATCCTTTTGAATTGTGAAGTCTACAAGAGAGCAATTCTAATAATAGGGATGACAGAGGGAATCTGAATGACAGCCTGTAATAGAAAGCTCAGCTGCTCAGAGGACAGCAGTCTAAAGTCAGCCACAGAGAGGGAATCAAAGGTCACACTGTTTTATGTTAAATGCGAAAATACTTCAAGATTGTCACAAATGCTTGCATGATGTGTATTAGGATATGTCCCTGGGCTCACTGAGAGAAGTGTAACACATGGTTCACCCTTGCAGAGCAAGGAAAAGTACTATGTGTTCATGTTTCTCTGTTCCTTGCATATGAAGACAGTGCTTATGCAAACTCCTGAGTGTTCTCTTGTGAATTCATCTTATTAATTTAACAAAGAGATTCAGCTTTGACGCCTGAACTTAGCTGTCTCATTCATACATGTAAGTGTGGATGGCACGTCACTTTCTGCTTTTGTGTGTTGTTAGGTTCTTCCCCAGGGTCCCGAATTCATTTTCAAAGTGTTTTGTTGTGAGTGTACGGAAACAAGGCTAGAGTTAAGGACTTCAGAATTACGAGTCTGAACCCCCAACCTTCCCCCACTTCTTATGGGGATATGGGTGTATATTCAGGTCTTCCATGTTTAGGCTCTAAGAAATTATGTTTAACAAGCTATCTTTCCTTACAACTGTAATCCCAACACTTGGGAGGCTGAGGCAGGAGGGTCACTGTAAGTTTAGGCTAATCTTGGGTCCATAATGAGACTCAGGTCAGCCTGAACCACAGAGTGTGACACCGAGTACTCCGCTTTGTCTCCCTAGAGAAACTAACTTTATTTTGACTGATTAATTTTCAAAAAGCATTCATCACTAGTTGGGTGATTAGGCATTTAGTATATTCCTGTTCTGTAGCCACAGCTCTTCAAGTTAAATTTTCAGTATTAAATCATGAGTTGACTGAAGGCATGAGTATTTTAAAGTTTCCTTAAAATATTGTCAAATTATTTAAACGTTCCATTTATGTTAATTTTGTTTTTTTTTTTTGTTTTGTTTTGTTTTTGATTTTTCGAGACAGGGTTTCTCCGTAGCTTTTGGTTCCTGTCCTGGAACTAGCTCTTGTAGACCAGGCTGGCCTCGAACTCCCAGAGATCCGCCTGCCTCTGCCTCCCAAGTGCTGGGATTAAAGGCGTGCGCCACCACCGCCCGGCTAATTTTGTTTTTTGAGACAGGCTTTCATGTAGTCCCTGCTTGTCTCAAACTCACTATGGTTGATGGTTATTGTGAAATTCTAATTCTCCTGCCTCCATCTCCCTGACACAAAGTGACTCTTAATTTATAACCGCTATGTGGATTTTTCTTAACTATAAAGTATTTGAAAGTTGCAGTAATTTCTACTTCAATTGATGATTTTCCTTAATAAGTTACTAGGTAGTATTTGTTGTTAAGTTGCCCTCCCAAGGAATGCAGTAGTTCTAAAATGCATGGTAGCCATGTGGATTACTGTAACTCAGGCCTCTCCTTTGTCCTGCTACATTGTACTATAGTCACTGGACTTTTTCTGGCCAGAGTGTATTTTTTTTTCGAGACAAGGTTTCTCTGTATTGCTTTAGCTGTTCTAGAACTCACTCTGTAGACTGGACTGGCCTCAGACTCAGAGAGATCCTCCTGCCTCTGCCTCCCTCATGCTGGCATAAAGGTGTGCACCACCACTGCCCAGCGAGTGAATTAAATTTACTTGGAAAAAATTCTCATAAAAGGGGCTAAGGAGATGGCTTAGTGGAGAAGGTGCTTCCTGTGTGAGCCCAAGGGCTTCTCCACACCCCATGCTTCCTCTAAGAACTGTTGTAACCTTGAGGGCCCTGTGTGTAACTCCAGTGCTGGGGAGTGTGGAGACAGGAGGCCTTGGCGCCTTGCTGGTCAGGCATTCTAGCCTAAACAGCTAGCTCTACATTCAAGTGAGAGAGCCCGTTTCAGTTAAAAATAAAGGTGAGCGCATTAGAGAAAGTCGCCAGTGTCTGTCTCTAGCCTCCACATGGGTATCCTGAGCCCCGCACTCTGCATGCCTCTTACCTACGCTCAAAGGAACCTAATGTCCAAAGATAGTTTTAGCGTTCTATTTTTTTCTTTTGGTTTTTCGAGACAGGGTTTCGAGACAGGTTTTTGGTTTCGAGACAGTAGCTTTGGAGCCCTGTCCTGGAACTCCCTTTGTAGACCAGGCTGGACTCGAACTCACAGAGATCTGCCTGCCTCTGCCTCCCGAGTGCTGGGATTAAAGGCGTGCGCCACCACCGCCCAGCAGTGTTCTATCTATAATTTAAGGAAGAGTTATGAGCCAGTGGTGGTGGTATTAGCTTGTTGTCTCAGCTATTTGGTAGGCTGAGGTAGGAGGTTCACTTGAACTGAGAAGTTGGAGACTTGCCCGTGCAACATGGTGGTACTACAGCCAGTCTGTTTCTATCTCCGTGTCTCTGAATTGCACAGACACAAATACAAACGTAAATAAAAGAGGATAGAGAATAAGCATTGCAGTATTAAATGCAATAAGAACAGTAAGGTTTTGTCTAATTGTGTTTAAATGATGAGGTGTTACTTTAATAAAAATTGATATGACCATGAAAAAATCAAACCGTGTTAGTTCTGGCAATTGGTAGGCAAAAATAGTAGGAAACACAAGCACTATATAGAATAGGATCCAGCACACTATATAGAATAGGATACAGCACACTCTATAGAATAAGATACAGCACACTCTATAGAATAGGATCCAGCACACTATATAGAATAGGATACATCACACTCCCTGTGTAATATTTCCACGGTGTGACCATGATTGGCACTCAAAACAGTGACCTCTGCCACACTCCAACTCCTCTATAACGGCGGCTAGTCCTAGTTTGGGTTCTATTCATGTCAGTGCTGGTTCTCATTTCTTATGTTTGGTCCCTTATTTATCAGAATTTACCCTACGATTTTTTCAAAGCTCTATTTGACCCAAGAAGAGATCGACTCTTCTATTGTAACTTCCCTCCCCCCACACACCAAGAGGCAGGACCACAGACAATCATATAGGATCACAACCATACAGGGTACCCTGAAATCCACCAGGCTAACCTGGTGCCTTCCTGCCTCAGCCTCCCAGGTTGTTAGGATTACGGGCATGTGTCACCATGCCCAGCTATATTGTACATTTCTTTTATGTTTCAACCCAAAGAATGGAACAGGTATGAACAGGTAGCCCCTGGTAAGGCTAATTCCAATACACAACTTCTAGATCCAGAGATGTTACAAGTGCATCTGATATCTCCAGGCCTGGGTATATCCCACCAGAATGCCTGTATTACCTTGCATTTGGGTTTTGATCTCACAACATTTAATAAATATTTCACAAAAATGCGAGATTTAATTGGCAGATTTGTCTAACTGTCCCATTATGATGGAAAAGAGAATTTAGTCTCCTATCCTCTCTTCAATTATTCTCTTTGTTAATCTGTGGTGGGCAGTTCTACCTCAGAGCAGGTGCTTTGGGTCCCCAGAAGCAGGCGGAGAATTCTCTGGAGCTGGAGCTACAGGCTGTTGTGAGCTGCCGGACATAGGGGCTGGGATCTGAGCTTCTTCCGTTACAGTGCCCTCAACTGCTCTGTCATCTCCTCAGCTGGATAGGTCAAATATACATTTTATATAAATGTATACACCGCCTTTCAAGTTTTTAATTTCTTGCTTTTAGTCTATATGTGAGTGTATACATGCCCATGTTCCGTGGCCTGTGTGAGGAAGCCAGAGGAATAATTTCAGGAATCTATTCTCTGCTTCCACTGGTGTTCTAGGGATCAGCTTTACCGCGTCATCTCACCAGCCTGAAATTTTAATGAATAAACGGTAAAAAGTTTGCTTATCATCTAGTTAGCAATTTACACGAGAATTAAAAGAAAAGGGGGAAAATCCCAAGGAAAAATTTCAATTAGAAACTAGTAATAGGGCTAAGGAGATGGGGGCGGGGGGACCCACCAATCAATTGTAACTGTTTTGTTTTGTGCTAAAATCTCAAACTGCAGTGATTATAAAACACATTAGTGTTCCTCAATTAGCAGCCAAACATTTGTTTCAATAATTCACAAGAAACGACTTACACGGAATCTGTTAGTGTTGTCGAGTAAGCCTCTGAAGGACCAAGAGAACCAGGCGCCACAGTGTATTTATGCTAGCAAACAGGAAGCCTGATTAACCTCCCAGACGCCTCAGCTGCGGCACTCCCGCCATCAGTGCTAATGGAGCTGTTCCCACGCAGAGGTAGCTGGACCTTTATAAACAGCAAGACCTTTCAGCGTGGAAGTGTCTGGTTGTGTATCCTCTGTGTTTGCCCCAGAGCATATCAGCTCATGCTTTTATGCCAATGAGTGTGAATAAAACAGGGGCTCATAAATAGTGGAAAAATGCAGAAGAGCAAGCCATGAGGCAATGGGAAGAGTCACCAGGGAAACAAGAAAAAGGCAGTCTGTTTCAGTCACGTTGGCATGAAGACTTGATGTGATTTGGAAAGAACAATGACTCTTGGTAAAACCATCTCTTCTTCTTTTTTAAATACAACCCCTAAACTTTATAATCACCAAATCTGCAATTTGTGTAGTAAGTTACGAGAATGTAAGATTCATCCCAGCTCTTGGGAGGTAGAGGTGGGAGGATCTCTGTGAGTTCAAGGTCAGCCAGGTCTGGTTACACAGAGAAACCACATCTCAAAAGAATGTACATGAGTAAAAATTTAACAGTTTTTTTTTTTTTCTCTCTGTGAGACAGGGCAGGGTTTCTCTGTGTAACAGTCTTGGTTGTCCTGGAGCTCTGTAGACCAGGCTTAGCAGTCATTCCTAAGGATTGTGTGGTGTTGGAATGAAGCACACTTATAAGCTCTTCCCTTGAGTGGCGGACGTGACGCTGGGGCACTCACACGCCTTCCCGTGTTGTCTGAGCCGCTAGCGCGCACACAGACTTGATGCAAACCTATGATGCGGGCGAGGCGCCAACTGGGAATACAGAAACTTTCTGTGGAGCTGATGAGTTGGACTAGTCCTTGCACAGTCTGAAATGTGTAGATTCTTTAAAGGTTCCTCAATCATGATTGTTTTGCAAGAGTACTCTCACAGAACAGCACTGTGTCAGTAGGGCAGCCGAACATGTGACTGGAGCAAAGTGTGAGAGAAATCCATTACAGCTGTTAATCCTATAGACATGGTACGTGTTCTCTTCCCATGCAGGAAATCGGCCGCAGGGTCCTTCGTCATTTTGAACCTTGCTCTGCCCTATCAGTTGTCCCCCTAGCCATTAGCGCTAATGGTGTTCTCTCAGAACCGTTCTCGTTAAGTTATCAGGTAACAAGAAAAAACATGGGCATTTTTATTAAATCAATTGACCACCGTGGGGCGAAAACACATTAATATACGACTGTTAGGAGAGAGGTAGTAAACATAAATCAAGATTTTATAATTGAAATCAAGTAATCTTATTTAAACAATTTCTTAGCACCAGAATAGAAAATTAACTGCCTTTACAGTCTACATAAGGAAATTCAGATTGACTGTTACGGAAAGCAGTGAGAAAAAGCTGTTTTGAAGTGCTACTCTGGGGTGAAGAAAATATATAAAAGATTATTTGCTTTCAAGAGTTTCAAGTATCTATGCAATAATAGATTTCTTTATAGTGGTGTAGTAAGACAAAAGACAGATATCTCTTTTAGCTCTTTTTCTTTTTCCCAGAAGAAAAGCAGCTGTTTCTTTAAGAGCCTTTTGTTATGATTTCACTTGGGCTTTTCCTTCGCATTACAGTCTGAACCTTGGGCCTCTGGCATGTGGGACAAACTCCCTGAGCTGCAGCCCCCGCCCTAATTTCTATTAATGCATATCAGGACAGTCTGTTGAGATTTATGAATGAGGAAAAATATAGGCAGTAGCTTTACTCTCTGGCTTTGAGTGGCATAGTGTACACTGGATTACTTCTTACAGACGAGGAAGAAACCTGTCAGCTGCATTTCCTATTGGATGTCATTTGTCTGTACTTACTATGGAGTTAGAAAGTAATTCCCATCATTATTCTTAGTGTATAGTCTTTTATAATAGCATAAGTATATTTTAGAATTATAATCTTTTTCCACTTAGATATTCTGTCAATGTCTCGATCTTTATCTTGATGAAATAAATATAAAATTTGAAATATAATATTTTAAAATAGTGTCACATGGCCAGCTCCTTTCATATTATGCCATATGCTAAAATATGTAAATTAAGGCGATACAGTAAAAGAAATGTTATAATAAATATATAATTTATATATAAATTGTAATTAGTATCCCTGACGTGGTGCATCAACTGTGACATTTCCTGGAACTCGTGCTGATTTTTCTATATGAGTTTCAAGATCACGTCGAACAGCATATTGAAAATCTGTGGAGTTTACCGCTATATACATATATCGGATATTGTAAGAGAAATGGATTCGAGTGCACGCTCCTGTTCAGACTTCCCATTTTGTTGTCTCTTGTCATGTAGACACTGAAGAGCGGCCTGACGATGGTTGGGAAGGTGGTGACGCAGCTGACAGGCACACTGCCCTCGGGGGTCACAGAAGATGACGTTGCTGTCCACAGCAACTCCAGGCGGAGCCCCCTGGTGCCGGGCATCATCACAGTCATAGACACCGAGACAGTTGGCGAGGGCCAGGTAAGAGCTCCACGTGAACTGCAGAGCTGGGGCCCAGGTTAGAGTCACCCCAAAGAGATGAATAGGACTTGTTTCAGGTCAGATTTTTTTCACCCATTCTAGGAAAGCAAGGGACATTTTCACTTTGTTAGTTCAATCATCATTAATACTTAAAACCTAAAGAAACTCTCTCTCTCTCAGAGCATGTGTTTTGTACACGCCTGTTTGTGCTCTTGTGTTCAAGCTGTTTCTTGGTCTGATGCCATGTTATAATCTACACCCCGAGATTAATTCATTTCTCCTAAGGAGATGAAAAGACAGGAACTGGCATATGTGGGGGAAATAAAATAATTAGCACTGGTTATGCACGAGATAAGTTAGTGTGTTATATGAAATTCTATAACGTTTTTCTTATTTTAGCTTCTGGAAGTAAAGGCTTCACTCTTGCCCAGTTATCAGTGGTCATCCTCCTTCCTTAGTGTTCTGAGTGCTGGAGCTACACCAAGAGCACCATGCCCAGCTAACACATTCCCTTTTAAACAGTAAAAAACAAGAACAAAAGCATAAAGCAAAACACATGGAAATTTGAAATTACAAACCAGAAAATATACATGACAGTAGCATGGGGGCTCTCCTGTATCTCCAGACAGTAAGTTATGCCTAGTTAAAAACCATTAGGAAGGGCGGGCCGACAAAGCACACGGGAGAATTGGCCTTTGTATGTTATGTTCTTGGTAAAGCGCTTTTAGCAAAACTTCATCTACCTCTACCCTCTTTAGTCAGGTATGAAATTTCTTTCATGTTATAGCCTTTAAAATATATATAAAAGGGCATAATTTTCAAATCTTGTTACTTAAAGATAGCATATAATCTAAAATGTTTGAAAAGTAGTAGGTTTATGAACCTTACTGTTTATATAGAATATGTATTCATTTTATTTTTATTCAGATAAAAGGCTTAGAAAATTTAAGTCTCTGAAGTACTGTCCTATTCTGTTGAGGAATTGGCGTCCACTATATATGGGTCAGCATCTTGACTAAAAAGTCCATTTGACAGCTCCTGTGTGCTATTTCCTGTAGAAGGATCTAAAGGCACTTTGAGAAAGAGTATACTCCGGTGCAATTCAAACTAACGTTCTTTGAAATTCTGTGCTGTTAAATTTGGTTGTGTTTTACTTAAAATTTAAATAATAACAATTTTCTGTTTCTTCCTTTTTAAGTTTCAGGTTAACCCAATACATTATATGCTTGTATTGATTTTGCTTTTAAAGTATGTGCTAGCATGGTTTTCTCTTGGCTGTTAGGATGGTGGTGGAGAACATACATTACCTGATGCGGGTAGCCACATACACGTATCCTGGATGTGTTACCTCTACTCGCAGTTACCCAGGATTTAAGCCCTGAATTTCAGAGGCCAGCCTGGAAAACAGTTAAGGGATGTGGGAATTATGGAAGGAGGGAGGGGATTTTTGGTTTTGTAATGTGGGAATTAGTGCAGTATAGTTTGTGGATTTACAAAAGTTTATCTTTCCTTGGTGAGCAAATCAAAGAAGCCTATCAAGACTTACCCTATGAATAATTGATTTTTCCCACTGTTTGGGAAACACCACAATTATGCCATTTATTCATTTTTAAATTCTAAGATAGGAAAGAGGTGCTCAGAAAATAAGTAAGTACTAAGCCAGTAAAAAAGTGTATTTTTCAAAGGAACCAGAATTCTGTAGTATAGCACTGCCTCTTTCATTTCCACCGTCTGTTTGCTGTAAGGCACCTCTGCTCAGACACTTTGGAGAACCAGGCTGTGTTGCACTGCACTGCAGAGCATTAAAGGGAGTGTGTCGCCTCGGAAACTCGCCAGCCCTAGCTCGTCCCCTGTCCCTGCCATGCTCCTCCTTCCCGTGTATGTTGTCTTCTGTGATTTAAATCCACCGAGACTCTAATATAGTTTCACATTCACTCTGGCAGCATATAAAATCTGATTCACCGTCTTTCTGTTGCTGTATTGATTAATTTGATTTTATGGTGATGGGATCATTGCATGGTAACTGCATTAAGGAGGAATGGATTTAATTGACTTTGTGTCCATTTTCATCTTTGTTACTTTCATGTTTTATTTAAAAGCATTTCTTGACTGGAGAAGTTAAGTGGTATGATTTGCCTTTTACACATTTATGTAATCGAAGTTAGCAATGTGGCAAAACCAATAAGTGAAATAAAATACTTCAGAATGGTGGCCTAAATGTTAGCCAAGTTTTGCTGCGGACCAGGTATTCTTATACACCTTGTCTTAGTTAAAGTTTGTTGTATTGTTTAGTATAGTTATTGGTGCAAATTATGGCTTCACTCTGCTTAGGTAAGTGTCCATCTCCTACCTTAGGAGAATTATCATGGCTCATGATGGTTTTAGGGGTCTGAGGCTTTAGGCACGCGATGGAACAGCACAGAGAACCCTTCCCTGCATGTGTAGTTGTTTGACTTTGTTCATTCTCAAGGAGAGCAGTCATGATACTTCATGTCATCCCTTGAGTTTGCTGGAAGCAGTACAGGTTTTAGTATTTCTGTCGAATCGCGTAAACAGTACTAATTGCTCCAGTGTCCAGTGACAGTGAACAGAAATTACACAAATGACAGAAGTATTTCACAAAAAATACATTCATAACTCACGATAAATTATGCAAGTTAAAACTGCATATTAGACTCCGAGAAGTTCAAGTTTGCGAATATATTCTATATTTGCATCTATTAATTTTGAAATAATCCATTCCCATCCCTCAACCCCAGCTACATCTCATTCCCTTCATTTGTATGTGGAGGGTGTGTGATATTTGTTTATATAATTTTTTGAAACAGTTTACTTTGTAACTCTTTGACTTTTAACTCTCTTTATAGACCAGATTGGCCCCATACACAGAGACTGCCTGTCTCTGCCTCCCAAGTGCTGGGATGAACGTGTGCCCCTGTGGCCGACTGTTGATACATACTTCTCCACACTTGTGTGGTTTTGAAAATGTCATGTAAATAGAGTCGGATGTTGATGGTTTTTAATGTTTATCTCTAGAGCCATCATTTCGTCAGATTATTTTCACTTATTTCTACCTGAATATAGAGTCAGGAGATTCTCTGTGAGCGATTCTGACTTACGCTCTCCCTCTGGCAGATCCCCAGATACTCTGTATATTCTGTGAAAATGTCAGATTGGCAGGAAAAGTGCAGGGGCGCTGTCCAGTAAGTGGCATTCTGAGGTGCAGTTCATCTTCTGGCACTTAGAAGTATACAAACATTTCAACATAGGCCCAGAAGCCTTTCAAATGATGCTGTGCTCATTGGCACTTGCATCTGCAATCCGTAAAAATGGGGAAGTGAATGAGAGAAACGTTATTTGTAGAAATGACAGCCAGTTGTAGTGGCATAGTCCTTAATCCCATGCCTCTCAAAGGAGAAGCAGGAAGCAGGTCTTAGCCCAGATCAATTGGCTGTGAGCCTGGATTACACAGCAAGACTTTTTTCTATAAACACAGAACAAACTACAGAAATTATCCATGAAATAGAAAGCAAACACACACAAACACACACATTTTTAATTTATGGATGCTTTTTAAAAGAACATATTGGTCAGTTTTTGAGTTGATAGTACACAAGTGTAATATCTTTTTGGAGAAAATGTGCATTTGAACAGGGGCCCACATTTTACAATAATTCATTCAACATTGACAAACAGAGGATGTTGATATAGATATCACAGTCTATTCAGAGACCCCCTAAGAAATTACTAGAAACAGTAACACCCAAATCTTCCTGCCTTAGCCTCCTGAGTCATCCCTCGCTAAAGCTATATTTTGAAACATAAAAAATGATCATTCAGGGGCTGGAGAGATGGCTCAGCGGTTAAGAGCATTTCCTGCTCTTTCAGAGGTCCTGAGTTCAATTCCCAGCAACCACGTGGTGGCTCACAACCATCTGTAATGAGGTCTGGTGCCCTCTTCTGGCCTTCAGGCATACGCACAGACAGAATATTGTATACTCAATAAATATATATATATATAAAAAGATGATCATTCAGGTAGCAAATAGTTCTGATTTATTGAAATACATAGCATTCTTAAGGCCAACAATATCTGAATTACTTTTATAAATAGAATCAAATTCAAAGGCATCTAGAAAGATTAATTTGAAAGCCAACATTTTTATGAAAGTACTTTATGTAAACAATGGCATTAGAATACTTACATTCAGCCATTATATGGAGAGCTTTGTGTCTATCTGTCCTTCCTGTGCCTGCACCTTCATGCACATCCATGTATGCTTGTTGTGTCGTTCATGTGGGTTCAGAAGACTTGCTATCGACGTCAATTCTTTTCTTCCGTTTGCCATAAAATAGTCAGGTTTGTGTAATAAGCATTTTTAACTGCCAAGCCTTCTTACCGGCCCAGTACATGCTTGCTTTGCACAGCCAGAATATACAAACGTAGGAGATTCCTAAATATTTGTAAGTAAATAGTGGATTTGTAAATAAATCACAGGGCAATCAAATAAAAAATAAAAAGTATTTCAAACTTGATAAAGATAAAATGTACTTAAATTTATGGTATAATTATGGTATAATGTGGATCAAAATGTAGAGATTTCAGTGCTTATTTGGAGAAGGAGGGGTTCTAACCCTGGAAAGTAACACAAAGCAGTGATGGCGCACACCTTTAATCCCAGCACTCGGGAGGCAGAGACAGGTGGTTCTCTGTGAGTTCGAGGCCAGCCTGGTCTACTGAATGAGTTCCAGAACAGGCTTTAAAGATATAGAGAAACTCTGTCCTGAACAGCCAAAATAGATAGATAGATAGATAGATAGATAGATAGATAGATCGATGGATGTAACACAAAGAAGAGTACTGTTTAAAAAATGAAGGAATGCTGGGTGGTGTGGTCACATGCCTTAAATCCCGGCACTTGTGAGACAGAGACAAACACATCTCTGTGAGTTCAAGGCCCGCTTGGTCTACAAAGCATCTTCAGAAAAACTAGAATTGTAACACCAAGAAATCCTGTCTCAAAAATCCAAAACAAACAAACAAACAAAGCAAACAAACAACTAAGCAAACAAAAATGCCCCCACCCAGAAATGAAGGAGGAAATAATTATCTGAACATAAATGAGAAAAAATAATTTTAGAAAATCACAGAAAATAATGAATAAGATAAAACAATTATTCATAGGCTGAATTAGAGGTCTGTCCAGAGAAGGATGACAAGAAATTTAGAGACAACGATTGAAGACATTTCATAAAACAGCTTATTATTAAAATCATTGAACTGTGAAGATGAACGCAGTGGCCTTTGTGGCACGTGAATTGAGTCCAAGTGGACCTGTCATGTCCTTAAGCGATAGTGTGTTCCGTTTCTGCCTTGTAGGCTTAGAAGTGACTGTCTCTCTCGGGCAGGAGTTACTTTGGCGGCTGCTTCGAGCATCTGTAGGACATGACCAGCATTCTTACAGACTAGACTCTTGCTCTGCCTCCAGGCTGGCCAGGAATCTTGCCTCATCTTCCGATGTTCCTATAACATGCTAGAACAGTGTTTTCAAAGTGTCCCCCTTTCTCTCTATAAAATTATATCACAACTCATAATCCAAAATCGCTGAGCTGGTACAGGTGTCTGCGGCCAAGCCTGATGACCCGAGTCTGATCCCTGAGATGAGCTGATAGAAAAGAGCGGCTTTTGGCAGGTGGTCCTCTGGTCCACGCTTGTGTGAACATAGAATAATCTAATAAAATATGAAAAATGTCAAACAGAAAACAAATTGCTATGTGTTATTCTCCATTATTATTTGGTTTATTTGTTGTATTTTCAATCATAGACCTCTTTTTAATAATTGGGGAATCATTGATTTTTTTTTCCAGCAAAATCTTTCTATAATTACGTTAAGTGGCTATTTTTAGAGATTATGCATCCATTGTGAGGTGTGTATCCAGATTGCTGAAGTTTTGTTCAGTGGATAAGAATAACTTCAGTGCAGTGCAACCATCTCCTTGAGGAAGATTGAGGAGTGTGTGGTGTGGCCTCCAAGCCATTAGTGACTAAAGTTAACCTTCTTCTTTTCTTTTCCAAAGGTGCTTGTGAGTGAGGATTCAGACAGCGATGGCATTGTAGCCCACTTCCCTGCCCACGAGAAGCCAGTGTGCTGTATGGCTTTTAATACTAGTGGTAAGTTTTTTTTTAAATCCATTTGTTTTATGAGTTTTCTAGCTAATATAATTAGAAATGGAACATCTGTGATTGGACTGGGGTTGGAGAGACAGCTCACCAGTTAAAATCCCTTGCTACTCTTGTAGAGGCCTGATCAAATTCTGCTGCCAGCACCCATATAGTGGCTCACCTGCTGCCTGTAGCTCAAGCCCCAGGGGAGCTGACACCCTCTTCAGGCCTCTGTATGAATAGATACAAACCACACAGAGAGACACATGGAGCTTGTCTATCATAAGTAATAACAGGACCAGTGATCTGTGGATGACTAAGTTTACAGTTTGTCCCACCCTGTCCCACTCAGAACGACATTTTAATTGTCTGAAAGCCGGTGTTCACAGCGCTGCAGTGAGGTAAGCGCTGCTCCTGAAGTCGCGTTCATTTATCGTCGTGCCCCAGTATCAGTATGGCAGGCTAGCAGCACCAGAGACACATGTTCTTTGTAACACGTTTTATTTTTCCACATGAAATTGTGAAAACTTTTAGTTTTTTGTTTCTCTCCTTCTGTTTTTCCTTTCTGGTTGCTCTGCTAAGTCGTGTAATTGTGACTAAAAGCATGGAACGCCCCGTTACCCACTTTTCCTCCAAACTTTTTATTAAGGAAATATTGACCTCTGAGCTAGAACAGCAGCTTTATAGTCACCCGGTGTAGGAACAGTTCTCAAGCAGGAACCAGCCAGTTCTTACTGTAACAATAAACAGAATGAGTGTCAGTTTCTTGGCTTGCATTCTGTGCTGGGTTTTATTGATACAGGTGGAAATAAGTGAAATCTAAAATACGTGATCTCTAAACAAAAGATGAAACTGGTGCTTGTTTCAGCGCTGCTTTGGTCTTGTAAATTATAGGTTCGGATCCTGCTCATTTGGGTGATGCATCTGAGAGTCTTAGCATTTTTATCTTATTTTTCAGAAATGACTGTATCAGTTGGATTGATGAGAAAATCTGGGTTTTTTTTTTCCCATTTAAAATCAAGAATGGTAACTAGGCAGTCATATTGAGCACTTGATTAATCTTTTTTTCTGATATTCTAATTAGTCATTTTTGTTGAAGAGAGATTTTTATTATAGTGGTTGATCAGTAAGTAAGATTGATTTAATTAAGGCAGACAACTACCTATTGAAATTCGCTGTATGTCGGGGGAATTAAGTTAAAATTTGAGACATGCTTTGAAATTTGTTTGCTTGTGTCCCTCTGCTTTGGGTAACCAGTATGACGCATTGTAATTCTCTCTGTTATGCCCACTCTCCTTTGTATTATTGTGTATTTCACATCACCCCTGAACAGTTCCGATGGGGGAACTGGATGTGAAGTTGCTTTGTACAAAGAACATACTACATGGTGTAAAGATAACTAATCACCCCCATCACTGTCTGCGGTGAGCTTTCTGTGGTTTTGTTTTGAAGCCTGCATCTTTCCCTTTGCTATTTGACTTGCATATATGATAATCTTAAAACAGAAGCATTATGTTTACTCCTCCGTGTTCCTAGAGCATTGTGTTTATAAGAATGATATAATTTATTTGGAGACGATCACTTGTTTAGATATTTCTTTCCTTTGTGTGCTGTAGTTTCCTTCCAACCCTGGATGTGCTGGCATCCAATCCATCTCTGTGTCTGGTGCCCAGCAAGTATCTCAGCGTATTGGCATGCTTACGGAAGAAATTATTTTAACTTGTCCCAGTTTTAGATTCACGGCACTGTAATTTATTCTCTGCTCTGGAAATAAAAGAGACTGGTCAATATAAAATTTAGGGCTTTTTTTTTTTTTGAGGTCTTAGACTAGACCAGGGACAGACACTGCTAGGCAATGCTGTCACTGAGCTGTGTACTGAGACTAGACCAGGGACAGACACTGCTAGGCAATGCTGTCACTGAGCTGTGTACTCAGCCGTGTTTTTTTTTTCTTTCCTCATTTTCCTTTTGATATTTGACCAAAGCTCCCTTGAGCTGCTTTGTAATTTATTCACTTTGATATGGTTCACGTGTCTAGAGCTTCCTTACACTGGTTGCCTATAATTTCATAATAGCCATCTGTGAGGCTTGTTAGTATCATTGAAAATACTTCACAAAGTAGCTGCTGGCCCAGACGGGCTGATTGTTCTGAGCCAATGGTCCACTGAAGTATTTGTTCAGAGGTGTATTTTCGTATGTTTGCTTTTATTACGTAATTATCTGAATATTGAATATTGTTGGAAATTACTACATAGTACACACACACACACACATACAATCCTACGATCAGTGTTTGTTCTTGTCTTTGTGGTGCTGAGGATTGTAAGGAGGGCCTCCCAGGTGCTAAGCAAGTGACCTGCCGTTAAGATCGACTCTAGCTGTTTACTTTTAAAAAATATTTCTAAAAATTATTTTGCCCTTTTTTTGCCCTTTTAAGAAGCATTATTCTAATTAATTGATCTCTAAGCTTTTCTATTTTTTGATGAGAAGGGTTTTTAGTACTAAGCTATTTAAAGCTGTCTGTCAAAATACTAAATTATTATTATAAAGGTTTCATCTCAATACTCTCTTTGGCTAATGCCTCCTTACACTGACCTGTCAGGACTTGGTAAAGCAACAGTTTCTATAAGCACAATCTCCAGTTAAAGTGGGTTCTTCACAAGGAAGGTAAAGTAAACCATATGTTGAAAGGATGGGATGCTGGTTGAAATATAAAAATTAGTCCAGCTGGGTATTGGTGGCACATGTCATTCATCCCAGCATTCCGGAGAAAGGGGGAGCGGATCTCTGTGTGTTCATTGCTGGCCTGCTGTACAGGGCTAGTTCTAGGTCAGGCTCCAGAGCTACACAGAGAAACCCCGTCACGAAAAACAGGGTCGTCATAATTTTGGGGAAGTCAGTTCTTAAAAAAGAAATCAGTTTTTAGTGTTGATTACAAAGGTGATTAGCTAGGACATAGCAACTCTGTTGCTTATATAGAAATTAGTGCTAGCTCAGGAGTGAACAGAGGAATGCAGGGCGCATGCAGTAAACACCTCAGAACACTGGACACAAAGTTATTCCCATTGTGTGGGAACTTTGTTTTTGTCTGTTTGTCATTTGGTAGGGTTTTAGAAATGTTTTCTGTGTGTAGAATGTTGATTTAGGTAGTGGCTTTATAATGAAACCTTGTTCCCTTTAAACAGTGTTATGTTGTAGTTGGTAGGCAGAGATAATAAGATGTATGAGTGTGATTGTCTTTCCTGCATGTATGTCATGTGCATACAGTGCCCATGGTGGCCAGACGAAGGCATCAGGTCCTCTAGAACTGGAGTTGCAGACAAATGTGAGCTGCAATTGGGTCCTGGAACATGACCCTGAGTCCCGTACCAGGCCTACAAGTGCTGCATCTCCCTAGCCCTGACAGAGTCCTTACCCTGTTGTCAATGCTACGGTTGCTTAATGAGGAGCAGAGGATAGAAAACACTCAGTGGTCCGTGATGTGGAAAACATCCAAATGCTGATTTGGAAATCTTGGACTGTTTTTCAGTTCTAAAGCAAGTCTTAATTAGGAGCTGATCAGTTTCTTTGAAAAGGGTCATCGGGCTAGCCATAGCTTCCTCTAGTCAGCGTCCTTCATCTTCTCTGTAGCCCAGGCTGGCTCCTGTCCTTACCCTGGGGTGGTGGGACATAGGCTTGGTTTATCATTCCTAGATTTCATTAGTTTTTTCTCTGACTTCTCTGTGCTGCCTGTTACCTCTTGGATTTAGGTGTGCATGTTCACACATTGTGTGTTCTTGGCAGTTAAGTGCACAGATATATAATAGGTATTTCCTTCTCCTCCATATAGTTGAAGTGTTTAGGGAAGATGAAATGCTTTTTGCCTCTTTCCATTTGAATTCTCCCCTACCAATACACTACTGATCTGCCTTTGATAATATAGAATGAGATTTTTTTTCCTTTACTGGCAGAATTATATTGTTAGGTACTGAGTTGTATAATTTGAGTGAATCTTAACACAATATGTATTTTTTGTTTTTAAATCGACTTATTTGGTATATTTAATTATTTTTATTTCAATTTATTGGTTTTGATTTGAACTGTAGATTATGGACCCTTTACTAAATAGATTGGTTTTCCATTACCCAAACATGCTTCTACATTTATTATTTATTTATTTATTTATTTATTTATTTATTTATTTATTTATTTATTGGGTTTTTCAAGACAGGATTTCTCTGTAGCTTTGGAGCCTGTCCTGAAACTAGCTCTTGTAGACCAGGCTGGTCTCGAACTCACAGAAATCTGCCTGCCTCTGCCTCCCAAGTGCTGGCACCACCCGGCTTCTACATTTATTTATATGAAGGAATTTTACGTATATCAGCCCTCTTATGCCCTGGCATTTCCAGGGGCTATGTAATAGATGACGGATAGCCATAACACTTGCAATATTGTTTTGAAGGTTATGGAGGTTCTAAAAAAAAAAAAACAATTAGGACATATAAAGAAATTGGTGTTGTTTTGTTTCTAAAGCTGGTCCTTTGCTTGCCAGCTTGCTTGTCTGAATTGATATCATACTCAAGGATATTGTATTAAGAATTTGTTCTAGTCCTCTTCTTTAAAAAGAGACATAGTCTTAGATGGCAGTTGTATGCAAATGTCTGGACGAGAGTAAGAACAAGCCATACCTTGGCCATCTCTGGGCAATGCTGAAAGTACTGTAAACTGTCCATGATGTGGTGCCACCACCGTGTGGATTAGCGGCAAAAGTAGGCCGACTGGCGGGGGTCACTGGCGACTGTGTTCTGTGGGACCTTTCGGATTCGAAATGAAGGATGCCAGTAAACAGACTTGTGAAACTTGTTGAGCAGCTGTGTTCAGTTTGTTTTTTAATTTCACATTCCCACACTTGTTTATTAGCTGTGACTCTGAGTCCTGAATCAAAACAAATATTTTAATGGTAGTATTTATGATTTGTTTAGAAATGCCTTGCTGAGACCTTTGTGGATTCAATATGGGTGGTATATGTC